AACATTCTTTACAGCTTGGACAAGTGTCCTGCCAAAAATAAATTTACATAAGCTACATGGGAGGATTTGAGAAAGTTTGATAACTGCACATCTCAGCAGATCTAATCTAAAACAGAAACGACATAGTGACAAGCTTAATTTGTGAGCAGAGAAACCTAAGAAGGAAAATAGAAAAGTTGATTAGTTTCGTAAGTTAATATCTGTGCACCACGTGAGGATGACACATTTCACATAAAGTTTTAACTTCTTTCAGAGAAATTCTAAGAAGACACCTACTTATGATAAAACATAGGAATCTCCAAAACCCAGAAAAATGTCATCCCAAAGAGTAGAATAGGGGTTTTGTTCATATAAGCACCAAAAAAAATAGAAGTAGAAAATTTCTTAATTTGAATTCAACATGTCCATAGTTGCAGTGTTGTTTTAATCCTCCAATAAAGTGGCACTCAAACGTTACTATTACCTCGAGCCAGTCTTGATATTGGAAGTGACCAATTGGACAGGTGTGGCAGCATTTATTATGTGAATCAAGACGAACTATTACAAAGTTGGTTTTCATGAAAAGAACCAAGAATTGGGTTAAATTAGTTTTAACAATATTTTGATTTTCAATTCAAAAGAACACTTCAAAGGTCATTTTTTATTGCAAATGCTACCACTAAAGGAAAGAAAAACATGATTTGGGTCAGATTCCATTCTGGAAATAGTTTTGCAAGTTCTTTACAAGCCAAATATTGTCGAAAATACTCGAAAAGTTAATCACCATTTTTAGCTTGCTTTTGATACCTCCGTATCCTTTTTCTTTTTTTGCATAACTAGCACGTGTCAAATAAAAGCTTAGAATTAAGATAATACACGTAACAAACTTAGAGAATAACTCATTATTACAATATCATAACAATTAGAGGATATTTCACTATTACCGGTATCATAACACGTGTTACATATAAGGTTAAAAAATTCACACAAAGAACTTAGACGATAATAACTGCATTATTCAATTAGAATCATGAAATCAACTTTTTGCACATTGGATTTTTCTTCAATATTCTACTAAAACATTGAAGCATGCTACTTGTGCTCCACAAACATCGATTGCCAAAATGGAGGAAACCATCAATCCAGTTGCAGCCAACACTATATGTAACGTACAATCAGAAAAGTATTACAGCCATGTTTTCGGCAACTAAAAATATAATCACACAAAAGAAAACAAACAACGATACTTAACATGCACAACAACACAACAACATCCACACTGATAATCTTTGAGCATAAAAAAACCCTAAACTTTTAAATTACTTTCAGAACACATAAAGAATAATCAACACAGCCCAGAAACATGAGAATTTCAGTTACACACCAGACAATGAAGACAAACAATGCACATACATGCAGTATACAGACTCACCCAGCCGATGGCATAGTTTTAGCAGGAACTCTCTTAATAATGACGCTAGATCCGCTTGGAATTTGACAATCATCGCCCTCAAACTCTGCCAAAGCCGCCGCAAACAACAGAACAAGAAATTAAAAACCAACTCAATTAACCCAAAAAGGAAAAAAAATAATGAGCACCATGAGCTACTTAAAAATTTATCTAGGAAAAGATGAGGCACCTGATAAACAAGACAAAAAATAACATAAACCAGAGATTAAAGCAGAAAAAACATAACTGAACCAAATGACGAAAGAAATCAAACGAAATTCGAGTAACTACAGAGGTACCTAAACCAGATTCCGCATCGGAGAACACGAGATCAAATCCTTGCTGCTGCTGCTGAGAACCTTTTCCCTTCAGAATCTTCGCCCGCAGCTCCCCGACGGGAATCGACGCGCGTTCCCCGATCTCCAACGCATCAAAATTCACCGAGCTCCTGAATTTGAACCGAATTGACATAGCTCGAATTTTTTTCCCTAGCTCAACCAATCGAAATTGGATTCAATATCGGTGTGTGTGTGTGTTCGTGTGTGCTTTTAGAGAAAAGAGGGTTNTGTTACAGATAAACACCGTCAGAAAAAAGGGTTTTCGCCTTACGGGTTTTGTGCTGCTGCTGATGTGTGAGGGAACGAAAAACAGGTTGAGGAGAGGGGCTTTTATATGCGAGGTGTTGAGGGGGAGAAGGTCACGTGACGTGCACGTGCTACGTGTACGTGCTCAACTTGTTTGTACGTTGGGGTTTGAGTGAACAGGGTACAAACTCCAAAAGCGAATGGTGCGTTTTTGTGGTATGGAAGAACAATGAATTGCACTTCCAAGATTGGGTGTGGCTAATGATCGGATTTTGGCTTGAATGTTGCCACAATTATGAGACAAATTAGCAAGTTATTTTGAGGGTGGTTGTAGGTTTATTATAGGTTAGAATAGAATTATAGGAGGTCTTGAAGGTTGAGTTTAAAGTTAATATAGTCGCAATTGTTTTTCGATAAATTTCCTCGAGTTCAGCGACAATAGGACTGGGGGAACGAGACAGATATTGAATTAACGGAAAGGCTCAACGCAACTAAAAGCAAAGATCTCTCGTCCCACTTATCAAGAAAATGGATGAGTCACAAAAAAAAAAGGTCTCAATGTTCATATGATATTTATAGGTGATTTTGTTGTGTTTTTTTTCTATAATCGTGATGAAGTGAGATGCATGGATTTGGTTGACATGACATATTAACATTGTTGTCGATTAACTTGATAGTTATTACAGACGTTAACATACCAACAAATGGATTGTTGGTAGTTTTATGGACAATGATTGAATAAATATATTGTAGAGTTGTCATAAATGTGATTCTGGAAGAATAACGGCTATGATTGACAATCTTAAATTCCAAGCAGAATGGTTGATATATATGTTACTAAGTTAGAGTAGAAGTCTTGAAGCTGGAGTTCAATGTTAAAAAATTTGTCGTTGTTGTTTCTCTAATGAAATTGCTTGTAATATTAAAGGTGACTTGCCTCTTTTTCTTAGTTCAAGTGGATTGATTTGCACGACTTTAGTTGAAGTGAAGTGACATATTGACATTATTGTTATGTTTAACGTGATGATAGGTCGAAAAATGTGCATGTTTTATATATTTAATGGTGTATTTTTATATACCTGATTTATTTGCACGTTTATATTTTTTGACTTATTTATTATTTGGATAAATTCATTTGCTTTAATTATTTTATATTTATTTTCAGCGCATTGGAGTATTTATCAACAGATGAGAGTTCGTGCGATTAATTGTCGAGCCTCCGATATGTCTTTAGTGGAGTTTAGGCCCAATTAAGATGACTCAAGAGGAAGTTGGGCGGCCCAATATTGGTTTCATTAGCATTTGATTCACGAGAAAGAAGTTGGTGGAATTTTATTTGCTGGGCTCCACAATCACAACTCACATTGCAAGCATTATTTGGGCTTAGAATAAAAAAATCATGAGGGCATCAGGAATTATACACGCAAGACTTGAGGAGAAAATAAAAAGAATCCTACAGCCCCTATCATATTGACGTAAGGAGCCGCCACACAGGAACAGAGAAAAGAGAACGTAAACAGAGCAGAAAATATGAGGGAGCCCGACGAATTGTGGAGGGAGATCGTACTCGCACACAAAAAGGGATAATTCTATTCTCTTTCTTTTGTTTTTATTTATTATGTTAGAATAGTTTTTATTTCTAGTTATGAGGAAGTCGAACCCTATGATTGACGATGTTTGATTAATTTACGTGGTTGATTATTGATTTATTTTTTTGGAATTGTTTGTATTATTTTGAATAATTAACCATGATGTGTTGAGTCTTATTTAAATTGATCACCTAGATTAGGCATTAGGCTTTTCATATCTGAATTAAACCTTCAATCCGTAATTGTTGAGTCCACTATTTAGTCTTATTTAGTTCATTAGAGTCTACCGGAAGACGGTAATTACCAGAGATAACACGGCCTATTTAAGTGAACGAACGCAGTTGAGTCCACTACTTAGTCTAGCTTATTTTTTTAATTAGTAAAGCGGCTAATTGTATTTAATCTTGAACGTTTTTCTGGACTGTACAAGAAGTCAGGTTTAATCGTAGAGCATCTCGCGGTTAAATTAAAAATAAGAAAAAATTCGGGTAACTGACCGTGTCGTTGCCTAGGGCTAGTAATTTCATAAGATAGCGAGATTTGATACCAAATTTGATTAGACGAGTCGGTCGAGGGTGTAGACGGAACCGTGAACTAGATTTTCTCTTTCTTTATTCTATTTTTTTTTTTTATTTTATTGCATTATTTAGATTTTATTTATTTAATTAGGATCTTAGTTTTTAATCCAATCCCCCCCACCCCGATTTATCGCTTTTTATAATTTCAATTATTACAAGAAAATTCACAATTTGATTCACACTCCTCGTGTGATCGACCCTTGCTCGCCACTACTGCTAGTTAGTAGAGGTTAGTCGAGGAAAAATATAAATTATAATTTTGCCGCGTTACGACGCGCGGTCACGTGACATTTTATTAATGATGTTTAACATACCAATAAATAAATTGGTTGTAGTTCAACAATGATTAGAAAAGTATATCGTTCTTCTTGATAGAATTATGAAAGAATGGCAGTAGGACTAGGGCTGCAAACGATTCGAGCAGTTCGTGAGCGCCCGAGTCAAAGCTCGGCTCAGCATCGAGTTTGACTGAACTCGAGTTGAGCTTGAGAAACTTAAGTATGTCATCGAGTGATCACGAGCTCATATTTGCATGGACAAGCGACTCGAGATATGTTGAATTACTATAATACTCCTTTTATAAATATCACAATATTGTAATATATGTGCTTATTGGTAATTTTGTTCCCCCAGGCCCAACTCCAAGAACGACCAATTTTTTCTCCCATTTCCATTCCCCTGGCCCTGCAAGATGCAGAAACCAGAGAACCCTAATTCACTTCCCCCAATTTTATACCCGCAAGAAGCTTAAAAATTTCGCAACCCGCGATTGAAGACTACCTTCGGCCTAAATTATCTTCCTTGTCTTCATGCTCAATCCATGGTTGGCCTCATATTTGGTCTATAGAAAAAACTTGCATCCGGAGAGAAGAATTGTGTATTACGCTCGAAGACATGTAAGTTCCCTTTATCTGTTTGATAAGGTTTCAATATGTCTTATTATCTTTTGAATCACGATTTCAAACAACACGTCATTTATATGTAAAGATTTCAAGTACATGATAAATGTACATAGAGGTGTACATAACACTTAAATGGAGTGGGGTTCACTTGATTTTTTATATTTTTTGTAGATTCGACACAATGTGAGTGTTATGTACACCCATATGTACAATATTATGTACCTATAGCATTTCTTAATTAAAAAATCAAGTGGACCACACTCATGTGAGTGTTATATACACCCCTATGTATATTTATTATGTATTTGTAGCATTGTTATATTTTAAAATTGTAGTCATTGGTTTACACTGACAGATTTATCTTGCAGTTGAGGTAATTAAACAAATAAAAGCAAAACAAAGTTTTTTTGTTTTTTTGTTTTTTTTTTTATCTGTTAGTAGACCAAACAATTCCCGTACGCAAATTGGAATTTGTTAGCAAACATCTCATTTAACGTTTATCAAAATAGTCAAATTGAGATGAGCTTTTACGAGCTCAAACAAACCGGTTACTTGAGCTGAGCAAACTCGTTTATTAAACGAGCATAAGCTCGATCGAAAGCGACTATTCAGCTCAACTCGAATTGACTCTGCTCGAATACACCATCAATCAAACAACACACTCTAACCAAGTAGAACTTATAAATGTGCAAACTAATCCATGACAAAATAAACAAAAAATTAAACTAAATAATTAAAAAAAGTAAAATACCACTTCAATTTATTAAGAAGTTCAAACAATAAACCGTACCGCATAAACCCTAGCTAATTTCATACTTAACAAAACAGTAACCCATTTTCCCGCGAACAAACTGCTCTCCCCTATGCCTAAAGTCCTCTACTACATCACCTAACCATTACAATCAACAATATTAATACTTAGAACCGAAAAATTGTTACACCCCTCTTCATCTACCACAATACATAGATATACAAAACCTCCTCATCACATACTTCAAAACTTGATCATCTCAATTCTTCTCCTCCATATTTCCCAAGTCCTCACAATAGAACTCCGTGTTATTCACCCATACTTGATCTCATTCATTCGAACCCTCCGAAACCGAGCAATTAACCCTCGCGCCGGTGATCCTCTCGAGATAGGAGACGATGACGGCCTCACGGCCCCTGGCGAGGGCCCTCTCCCTCGCTCCGGCCTCCGACTCACGGACGAGGCGCGCAGCCTCCCGCCGCCGCCACTCGTCCTCCCTGGCCGCCCGCTCCTCCTCCAGCCTTTCGAGCACCTCCGCCACCTTCCGGTGCATGCTCTCTTGGTGCTCCACCACACGCTGAACCAAATCCCTGAAAAACTCCGCCATCGGGATAACCCCTTCACCACCGCCATTCTTCTTCTTCTTCTCCTTCTTCCTTCGCTTCCTTTTCTCTTCGGGCCCCAACGGTTTGTATATGGCTTCGAGCTCGCCGAAGTCGGTCAAGCCGTGGTTGGGTACTTTGTGGGCCATGGTTTCCGCGTGTTCATTGGATGCCAGTTGTTCCCTTCAGAGATAAACATTAATTGTACGTACACGGCAAATTAAATTGGACAAGGAAGATAGAGCCTAACTAACTGCATTAATATTAATGCCGACCTTCACATATATGTACTTGTTCTACGCAGGAATTAGTTAATACCATTAATAATAATACTC